GCGTAACTTGATTTGGGATATAGCTGAGTTGCACCAGCACTGCTCATAGTGTAGCCCATAGTCGATGTGCAGTCCGCTAACTTTGGATTTCATCAAACTCTTTCATAAAAATCTTGTGTTGAAAAATCCGAAAGGACCCACTTATTTTACTCTTTCTGAGGCGGCAAAAAGTGCAGTTTTTTGACATTTTTAATTTTGTTCGCCGTTGACAAACCAGAAAATCTTTTCGTTTTTCTAGTAGCAGTTGTTCTAGCTCCAATCTTACTATATAAAGTGAAAGTTCCGCGATTGCAATATGTTTATGATTTTTATGCGACTTGAAGGGACCATAAAGACAGGTTATGAGCTAAAAATTTGTAGGTTCAAAATTTTTCTGAAATCATATCCCGATGAGCGTTTTGTAACACAACTCTCCAGCAGACATTATATATATTTTTAAAAAAAATTTTTCTTTTGGCTGTGGACTTCACGGCGATAGAGCAAAGACAAAAATTTTCGCATTTCTTTCGCTGCCTTTCAAAGTACGCAACCACACAGCGAATAAAGATCTATGAAAACGAAAATCTGCCTGAAAAACTAGAACAAAAGAGCTTTTGAAAGATATAAGCAATGTTTATGAAAAATGGTTTCTTCTCCAAAATCGGCAGTTCAGAAAAGGTATCAAAAACGGGTAGAACTTTTGAAACAACCCAATATATGCCCTTTTCCTCAAATAAATCAAAGTTACTCTATTCCATGCGTGTTTACAATTTTTGAGTTGGTTGAACAGCTACACAGTAATCGCATGTGTTGAGCTGGGCCATACTGTGAATAGGACTGCATGAAGAAGCATTTCTGCTAAATATCTGGTGTTCTAGGGTGGACAAGGTGGAGAAGGTGGAGGTAGCGGAGGTGGCAAAGGTAGCAAAGGTAGCGAAGGAACCGAAGGGACCCTAGGCGAAGTATGTATTTTGCACCACAAAAACACAAAATTGAAAATTCACGCGCATGCCCTTTTTCATAAACTAATCAAAGTTACTTTAATCTATACATGCACCATGTTTACAGCTTTTGATTTGGCTGAGCAGCTACGCAAGAAATCGCACGTGTTGAGCTTGTTCATACTAGAAACAAGATTGTAAGAAGAAGCATTTCTGCTGAATATCTGGTGTTTTAGGGTGGACAAGGTGGAGAAGGTGGCGAAGGTGGCGAAGGTAGCGGAGGTGGCGAAGGAACCGAAGGGACCCTAGGCGAAGTATGTATTTTGCACCACAAAAACACAAAATTGAGAATTCACGCGCATGCACTTTTTCATAAACTAATCAAAGTTACTTCAATCTATTCATGCACCATGTTTACAACTTTTGATTTGGCTGAGCAGCTACGCAAGAAATCGCATGTGTTGAGCTTGTTCATACTAATACAAGACTGTAAGAAGAGGCATTTCTGCTGAAAATCTGATGTTTTAGGGTGGACAAGGTGGAGAAGGTGGAGGTAGCGGAGGTAGCGGAGGTGGCGAAGGAACCGAAGGGACTCCAAGCGAAGTATGTATTTTGCACCACAAAAATACAAAATTGAAGATACACGTATATGCCCTTTTCCAAATTAATCAGAGTTTTTTTTATTCCTATACATGCACCCTGTTTACAGCTTTTAAGGCGCCTGAACAGCTACGCAAGAAGTGTGTTGAGCTGGGTCTTAGAAAAGACTGTATGGAGAAACATTTCTGCTAATTATCTGATGTTTTAGGGTGGACAAGGTGGAGAAGGTGGAGGTAGCGGAGGTAGCGGAGGTGGCGAAGGAACCGAAGGGACTCCAGGCGAAGTAAGTATTTTGCACCACAAGAACATAAAATTGGAAATTCACATGCACGCCCTTTCTCACAAGTTAATCAGAGTCACTTTAATCTATACATGCACCATGTTTACAACTTCTGGGGTAGGGGACTATATGTCGCCGAAAAAGGGCGGTCCCCGCGGTCATTTGTGACAAATACGCGCCCTTGTACATGCGCGGACATGCGTTCCTGCACGCAATCCGCGCGGGACTCTTCCAAATTCGGCGACATATAGTCCTCCACCCCAAATTTTGAGTTGTTTGATCAGCTACGCAAGAAATCGCACGTGTTGAGCTTGTCCATACTAGAAACAAGACTGTAAGAAGAAGCATTTCTGCTGAATATCTGGTGTTTTAGGGTGGACAAGGTGGAGAAGGTGGCGAAGGTGGCGAAGGTAGCGGAGGTGGCGAAGGAAACGAAGGGACCCTAGGCGAAGTATGTATTTTGCACCACAAAAATATAAAATTGAAGATACACGTATATGCCCTTTTTCAAATTAATCAGAGTTTCTTTACTCCTATACATGCACCCTGTTTACAGCTTTTAAGGCGGCTGAACAGCTACGCAAGAAGTGTGTTGAGCTGGGTCTTAGAAATGACTGTATGGAGAAACATTTCTGCTAATTATCTGATGTTTTAGGGTGGACAAGGTGGAGAAGGTGGAGGTAGCGGAGGTGGCAAAGGTAGCAAAGGTACCGAAGGTAGCAAAGGTAGCGAAGGAACCGAAGGGACCCTAGGCGAAGTAAGTATTTTGCACCACAAGAACATAAAATTGAAAATTCACATCACATGCACGCCCTTTCTCACAAGTTAATCAGAGTTACTTTAATCTATACATGCACCATGTTTACAACTTCTGGGGTAGGGGACTATATGTCGCCGAAAAAGGGCGGTCCCCGCGGTCATTTGTGACAAATACGCGCCCTTGTACATGCGCGGACATGCGTTCCTGCACGCAATCCGCGCGGGACTCTTCCAAATTCGGCGACATATAGTCCTCCACCCCAAATTTTGAGTTGGTTGATCAGCTACGCAAGAAATCGCACGTGTTGAGCTTGTCCATACTAGAAACAAGACTGTAAGAAGAAGCATTTCTGCTGAATATCTGGTGTTTTAGGGTGGACAAGGTGGAGAAGGTGGCGAAGGTGGCGAAGGTAGCGGAGGTGGCGAAGGAAACGAAGAGACCCAAGGCGAAGTAAGTATTTTGCACCACGAAAATACGTAATTGGAAATACATGTATTAGGTTGTTGCAAAAATAATGTCCGTTTTGCAAAGTTTCACTTTGAAAGGCTATAACTTTGTTCAGTCTTCATATTCTTAGATGCAATCAAAACCATATGAAGCAGTAAACCTTTCTTAACCTGATGCGCACCTGAACTTACTGATATCACAAACGGGAAGAAAACCATGCGTCAAAAGATCGAAAGTTATTCTTTTGAAAACGTTGTCTTTGAGAGGTTACAACTCCCTTCAAGTTTTGTTCCTTTGGCTGCTAATCAGCTTATTTTGTAGACGCAAGCCAGTAGTATATGTCTTCTTTGGAAAGACTTGAACGAAGGAGTTCTGTGAACAGAAAAGATAGAAAATTCAAAATTGTTCACTTTTTCGAGCCTATCTGTGGTAGGTCAGAAAGTCCTGAACTCTGAAAATTTTAAATTCTTCATACACTGAATAGCTAAGCTTTTCTGCAAAAATTATGGAAAAGATGACCTGGCCTCAAGCATACAGGAATGAGCGAAGCTTCAGCGATTGCTCTAATTATAAGAAACTTTGGGTCCATAGAATGCCAGCAGCGAGTACCTGTTTCAGGGTGTCGATTTCTCGGTCCAATATTCTCGAAAAATCTATTGAACATGCTATAGGTGAACAATGTTCAACCAGTACAGTACCTATGTTTTCAAAAGAGCCCGTTCATTTGCGCCTGAATTGTGGCCAAGGGAGTTAAAGCAACGAATTTTCGTTTCGAGTGCAGCCGTGTGAGATGCTGGTAAAATTCTCACAGATGAGATAGAAGCTTAATTTCACAACCGTTAGCAAGTACATGAAGAAAGCTTTCCAATGATATACAGAGTCCATATCGAAAAAGAAACTTTGAAGGAAAAAAGTTGTTTGGAAAATGGACCTAGAAAAACGGCCATTACTTTTGCAACAACCTAATATATGCTCTCTTTCACAAACTAATCAGAGTTATTAGGTTGTAAAGAAAGTTCCGGGCCACTTTTGAAAATTTCGTTTTCAAAGCATTTTTAAGCGCTCGGTCGGACTTTGACATCAAATGTTGTATTCAGTGTGTTCGGTACAGCTAAGCGTAAACATTTCAAAACCGCTTCTGATTTCTATCGATACCAAGACGTGTTTGACCTGCACATCAAAAAAGGATCTTTCCAACCATAAATATTCCGCAGTTTTCTTCCTGCGCCCATTTTTCTGTGCAGTTCAAGAAATTTCGTCCAGATTATGAGTGATCTGATTGAGGAACCTGTCAACTTCTGACCCGCAGCTGCACTCGAGTTTGCGTTTTGTGCTCAAAAATTACAAGCTGTCGAACTTGACTCTGACTGCAACTCTTTTCACAGCTGATGTCGCTTCTGCAGAAATCGCAGCGCCTAGGGGATGGGTCAAAAGATGTGTAAGTCATTACCACAAAAACTTTTGCAGTAATTAAAGATTTGTTCCGCCTTGTGCAGAAGAGAAGGCTTTAAAGTTATTTACTCGAAAAATGGTGCATTATTAGGGGCAAAAAATGGTCGATTTTTCTTTTCTGGAAAAAAATTTTGCAGGCGGTTCCTCAAAGACATGAATGGTTCTCAAAACAGCCCCAGAAGACTTCTTTATAACTAAAGCATTTGGGTCTTCAGCTGTTATCCTGCCTGAGATAATCCTGCACAAATAGGCCACTTTTCGCGTCGACCTTTCTCCCTTCTGCGCATGCTATAGGACCATTATGAGGTGCTGAAAAGCCAGCATGACAAATATATGTTGTAAACGAAATTCTCTTTGCAATGAAATGTAGCTCTGAAAAAGGATCAATCTGCTCAAGTTAAATTTGAATGATTGAGAAAAAAATCGCCAGTGCCCCGGAACTTTCTTTACAGTCTAATACTTTATTCTATACATGCGCCTGTTTACAACTTTTTAGTTAGCTGAACAGCTACGCAAGAAATCGCATGTGTTTAGCTGGGCCATGGTAGAAAAAAGACTAAGAAGAAGCATTTTTGCCAGATATTTGGTGTTCTAGGGTGGAGAAGGTGGAGAAGGTGGCGAAGGTGGCGAAGGTCTCGGAAGTGGCGAAATTAACGAAGGCAGCGAAGGAGCCGAAGAGACCCAAGGCGAAGTAAGTATTTTGCACCACAAAAACACAAAATTGAAAATACTTGTTATGCCCTTTTTCACAAACTAAACAGAGTAACTTTATTCTACACATGCACCCTGTTTACAACTTTTGAGTTGGCTGAACAGCTACGCAAGAGATCGCATGTGTTGAGCTGGGTTATAGTAGAAACAAAACTATAAGGAGAAGCATTTCTACTAGATACCTGGTGTTCTAGACTGGAGAAGGTGGAGAAGGTGGCGAAGGTGGCGAAGATGGAGAAGGTGGCGAAGGTGACGAAGGTGGCGAAGGTGAAGAAGGTGGCGAAGGTGGCGAAGGTGGCGAAGGTGGAGAAGGTGGCGAAGGTGGCGAAGATGGAGAAGGTGGCGAAGGTGGCGAAGGCGGCGAAGGAACAGAAGGGACGCCTGGAGGCGAAGTAAGTATTTTGCAGCATAAAAACACAAATTTGAATTTACATATACAGGGTTTTCCAAAAAAATGTGAACACTGTTTGAATGTTAATAACTCGCTTGCTTCTATGTCCTTCGCCGATCTTAGGCACCATTTTGTAGCTTGCTACAACTTACATTTACAGTATGGAGAAAAACTTCCATCTACCTTCTTTAATGTAGCACTATGATGTGAACTTTCAGCGTCATTTTAAATAGGCCGTTCGAGAATAAATCTTCGAAAAAATCTGGAAATCTGTGTTGCGAGGTTTTTGAGCATGCTGATCTGACAAGCTTAGTATGAGTTTTCACAGCTATAATCTCATTTTTGAAAAACATTGGAAGAGCAGTTGTTACTGTTTTCCTGGAATAACGTATGAAAGAAGCAAGACAGTGGCGGGCAAATTGCATATCCGTAATCAGCGACTTTAGTCAGCTAGTATGAGCTTTCGGCTTGTTTGCTTCCCTTTCGGGTGCGAGATGAGACACTTATAGTTCAAAACCCTCTTAAATGTTCCTACCGTAATCCTACAATAACGGAGGAGGATAGGAGATTAGCTTCAAACTGTAAATCTAAGCTGAAACCAGCTCTACAGAAGTTGCCAAAAGAACGACAGTAGGCATTAAAATAGGAGATTTTTGAAGATCAAATAGTGTGCACATTTGAGACATCCTGTACTTATGTAGTAGGATTTATTTACATCGCCACGTATATACAACACAGTTCTATGTAGCAAGGGTGTATGCTACGTTTTCTTGTTTGAAGAAGTCAAAGCTGCAGCAAAACTAGCACCAATAGGGACAAGGTTATTTTTTACAGGGACAGATATGAGAAGTCTCTGACTGCAGTTTTACTGAAAATGAAGCGCTGTGATATTTTTTGTAAAAACATTTTCCCGCAGCATTTCTCTTTTTCTTCAGACAGCAGTGCAGTGAATGTGCTACAAAGCTATTTATGTAATACCCAAAAGCAGGTGTTCAGCAAAATATGCAAGTGGTTATTATGCTCTCTTCTTACTCTATCAAATTTTTGGTTTGATGTACGAACGCAAAGGGTTTAGAATAATTTGAGCTTCAGACTTGCAGACTGTACAGATCAAAAAATATATTACAACTTTGTTACGTCACCCTTGAATAGGTCAGAATGCTTGCAAAATAGTTTGGAAAATATGCAACATGTATAGAAAATGTCATAGCTTAGCTCGTCATAGATGCCCGTCGTGCTCCCTCAGTCATGCTACTGTGCCGGTTATCGCCGCGGTCACTGAAATGTTCGACACAATTTTGAACCCATGATTTTTACCACATTTGACTTTAATCATTTTCAAAATCTTTTTCCAAACTTAGAAAAGCTTTGACAGCAGTCGGATAGCATAAACATCATAGAAAAGCAAACGGCGCACAATCAAAATGTCATTCGATGCAACCTTCTTCCCTCTTTCTGAAAGATATTTTCTTTTACCGCGAAGGCTTTGACGATAAAATTATAATAAATCTTGATTATGAACCCGTCCCAGGCTGCACTCGCAAAATGCGCAATTTGATATTTTGAAGCGGTAATCGCTCAACTGCCTTGTAAAGTTAATCAGGTGTTCCAAAAGCAAGTTCACACTTTTCAATCGTTAATATCTCTCTTCCCACTGCGTCTTTTTCCACCTTTTCAGTATTATTCTGTAGAGGAGGGTTCAACTTAAATTTACTATATCGAGCAAATCGCCAACTTCATTACTGTAGGATTACGGTAGGAACCTCGACAAGGATTTTAGGCCATTGGAAGCCATATTCTGCTTTGGAGCATAACCAAACAAGCCACCCTTGTCCTATGGTTGTGGAAGCCGCTAATTTCGAATATGTAATTTCCACTCTACTGTGATGCTTCTTTCCAAAGTTATCCCAGGTGAACCATAATAACCTAGTTCCCAGTATTTGTCAGAAATGTGATTGCACCGTCAAAAAATCTGAAAACACTCGTAAAAACTTGTGTAGTGGAATCAGCGTGCGCGCAAACCCTAGTACACAATTTTGTAAATTTTTTGAAAAAAAATTTTGTCAGATGGCATATTTCTTGTTATTTCCACATGCTGGAAGTTCTTACCGTAATCCCACAGTAACGAAGGGCGATCGGTCTTTCAATCAATAATGTAAATCTAAGTTGAAGCCTCCTCTACACAATGGCCCTTATTGACGGAAAAAGATGCAATGGGAAGAGAGATATCAAAGTGTGTAGTGTGAAAAGTGTGTACACTTATTTTTGGAACACCCTGCATGGCATAAACGAACTTTATAAGTTTCAAATTTCGAAAACCTGTTAGTGTTTTAAGCTTTTGTGGTTTCTGCAACTTCGCAAAAGTGAAGCACATTGAGAAAGTCGTTTCGAAAAATGCCAAAAAGCGAGGGGAGATGTCAGAAACTTGCATTGCATCGTACTTTGTTTACGCTACTAGCTGCCATCCCAGGTAAACGTAGCAAGGCTTTTCTGGATGCTTGAAAAGAATGAAAGTTATCACTGGGCATGGTAGAAACCATGGGTTCAAGACTTCGGCGACAAGAGTAACCAGCACATGAACACGACTGATAATAAAGGAAAAAAGGTTGCGTCGGTAGTTCAGAGACCTTTTCTGCCTTTATTCCAGTGTATCTTAATAGATTCGGTTTATGATAGATATGGTTGAAAAAAAAGCTGGAAAGAACTCTCGACTAAATATGTTCAACACGAAATTTCCTTGAATATAGTTCAAAAAGAGCACAACTGTTGTTTCGTTTCCCATTTACTTATCTGCTCGTCACCACCTTTAACAAAAACTCTCATACTTCGCACCAATTTTGCAGACAACAAAAATTTCATATAAAAAGCAATTTTTCCAAACCGTGTTGTTTAAGGGTATCGAGCCTGAAGAACAATTCCGAGGTGGCACCAGTAAAAATGAGGTAGGTTAAGCAAATAAAATTGGAGCAAATATTAAGCATAGTCAAAAGCATATTATATGCACGAAAGTTCCTTAAATGTAGTTCAACGGAAGCAAAGCTGTAATTTGTTTCTCTGTTCGTCTCCGAACCTCCGAAAAAATCTCTAACTTCTCCCAGACTTGCAAAAAATTCAGTTTCATATATAAATCAGTCCTTTCAAACCGTATTCTTTAAGGGTATCGAGCCTGGAGATGAATCAGGTGGCACCAGTGAGAACGAGGTAGGTATTAAGCAAATAAAACTGGAGCACGTATATGAAACATAGCCAAAAGCATATTAGGTACACGAAAGTTCCTTGAATGTAGTTTAACAGAGCATAGGCTGTAATTTGTTTTTCTGTTCGTCTCCGAGCCTCCAGAAAAAAACCTCTAATTTCCCCCAGTCTTGCAGAAAATTCAATTTCAAATAAAAAGCAATCCTTCCAAATCGTATTGTTTAAGGGTAACGGGCCTGGAGAGCAAGTCCCAGGTGGCAGCAATGAAGACGAGGTAGGTATTATGCAAATAAAATGGGAGCACGTATATGAAACATAGCCAAAAGCATATTATATACACAAAAGTTCCTTAAATGTAGTTCAGTGAAAGCATAGCTGTAATTTGTTTCTCTGTTCGCCTCCTAGCCTCCAGAAAAAAACCTCTAACTTCTCCCAGCTTGCAGAAAATTCAATTTCAAATAAAAAAGCAATCATTCCAAACCGTATTGTTTAAGGGTAACGGGTCTGGAGAGCAAGTCTCAGGTGGCAGCAATGAAGACGAGGTAGGTATTATGCAAATAAAATTGGAGCACGTATATGAAACATAGCCAAAAGCATATTATATACACAAAAGTTCCTTGAATGTTGTTCAACGGAAGCATAGGCTGTAATTTGTTTCTCTGTTCGTCTCCGAGCCTTCAGAAAAAAACCTCTAATTTCTCCCAGTCTTGCAGAAAATTCAATTTTAAATATAAATCAATTCTTTCGAACGTATTGTTTAAGGGTAACGAGCCTGAAGACCAATTCCCAGATGACATCGATGAAAATGAGGTAGGTATTATGCAAATAAAATGAGAGCACGTATATGACACATAAAAAAGTTCCCTGAATGTAGTTCAATGAAAGCAAGCTGTTGTTGATTTGTTTTTCCACTCAACCCGAATGTCTAAATATGGAAACCTTCGCGATAGTTGTACATAAAACAAAAATTTTATGTATTAGGTTGGAAAGAAATTTCGTTCGCACCATCTTTAAAATTTCATATTCCAGGCTTTTTAGACGATTTGGTTTCTCATTTTTATCTGAAAGAGCAATTCATTCTCTTCATACTGGTATCTTAGCGGCCTTCTATTGAGCATATACGGCATAAATAGAAGCGATAGAAGAAAATTCCTCAAATTTTGAATTTTCTTGTAGGGTCATAAAAAATTTGAAAGTTGCACTGAAGATCGGAGCAGCTGACTATGAGACTCTATTGCCAGCTTTTCTGTGTGTGCAAAGTCTGTGCTGCGAGCGTTGTATGGAAAGTTATGAATTTCGAGCAAGCAGTACAAAAGGATGAATTTGATTTAATTTGGCATTTTTCTCGAAAATTTTATCTTTTCATGGAGACGCTCAATCAGCACAAACTTTGCAGAGTTAAAAAGAGCTGGAAGTAGAACCTCTAATACCGATTGACCCGATTTTTACTGCGATTTTCAGATTTTTACCCCTCACAGAAAATTCAAAGTCTGAATAATTCTCTTCTGCCGCTTCTGCCCATGCAGTGTATGCTCAACAAAAAGCCGCTAAGGTACCGCTATGAAGAGAATGAATTGCTCTTTCAAACAAAAATGGAAACCGAAAATCTGCTGAAAAAATCAGGAGTTATGAATTTTTGAAAATGCTGCGAACAAACTTTCGGGCTAACCTAATAAAACCGATTATTCCAAACCATGTTGGGGTTGTGAGACTAGAGAGGAAACCTCTGGGGAAGACGAGGTAGGCGCAATCAAAAATCGAGCAGATGTGAAACATATTCAAAAGCATACTATATGCACGAAAATCTTTTAAAGTAGTTCAACGGAAGCGTAGCTGTTGTTAAGCTGTTTCTCTGCTCGTCACCACTTTTAATAAAAACTTCCATACTTCGCGCCAATATTACAGACACCAAAAATTTTATACAAAAAGTAATTTTTCAAACTGTATTGTTTAAGGGTGACGAGTTTGGAGAAGGATTGCCAGACGGCATTGGTGAAGGCGAGGTAGGTGACAAATGCAGTTGAAGCATTATATGAGCGAATTTGCTCAAATGTAGTTTAACGAAAGCATAGATTATCAAAACAAACCTCGTGAGCCAAAACAGCACTGATACAATCAAGTATGGAAAAGTATTGACAAAAAAAATTACTAAAAACAACCCTATTGTGATATTTACGATGTTTTGCTAAACGTTCAAAAATCGGAGGCAGCCTGCTCGGCGGCAGTTCATATAACTTATTTTTTCTAGAAATATTCTATTGCAGCTTAAACCTTAATTTTGCTGTATTCGATAGTTCCGCTAGAAGAAATTTTCATTTAAGCTTTTCGGCTAAGGGCAACGTACACGATTTAGTTTTCGCAAAAAATTCGGCTGTAGATTTCGTTTACGTGCAAACACTGCTATCCGTGCTATGCTAAGAATTATTTACTTCGCACTGGTCGTATAAAGCAAGGGTTCATAGTCGCCGTCATTTGCCATTCGTGTAAAGTCTTCGATGTCCCTGTATAGGTGCACCACAATTGATTTTCCCCATGAAGCAGTCGAGAGCCACTCAGGGTCCGGCACAGATCGTATGAAACTAGCTGGACTTCTTCTTGGGGCGAAAAAGCAAAGAAGGTTTTGTTTTCGTGGCCGAAAAGACGCAAAAAGTTGAGACATTTTTTAGTCAACGTTTCGTTTTTTAACGTTTTTTTACACATATGGTTTGGGGACTTTGTAAATTTTGGCGAAAGTCAAGGGGGACTTTGTTTTCAAAATCCTAGAAACGAACTCATGCCGGGCCCTGAACCCACGATGCTGTGACCAGTGCAAAGGCCACGACTAGTTTCATAATGGCAGAGCATTAATTTCGAGTGTTTCATTGCCTTTTTTACATCATATCTTCATAGCTGTTTTGAATTAATAATGTTTGTGGCTTCGCTCATATCTTTGTACTTTCGTGGTACTTTTGAAAATTTTATTACTTTTACTTTGAAAACTAGGAAAAGAAGCTGCAGTCGGTGAAAAACTTTTGGTAAGAGCTTCTACTACAAGTCGCGCTGACCTCTGCGGGAATGGAATGGCCGCGGCAGATATTAGGGCCAAATATTAGTCCAAATATGCTATTCATAGCTGCCGCGCAACCATTCCGAAGAGAATTATGGGCTTTTTTTTACGCAAAATTGGCATACTGAACTTGGGAAGACAGTGGATAAAAATCTGCAAGCGAAAGGCGCTGAGATATTAAAATGACACAAATCCAATGTTTTCTCACTAAAAAGAAGCTTAACGCAAGAGTGTAAGCATTTAATGATGCCAGTGAGTAGATAAGTATGCTAATTTTGCGCAGAATAAGGCTCTCAAATCACTTTGGAATTTTACGTGGCAGCTAAGAATAGCATATTTGGAATCAGCCTTTGAAGCCGATTCAGAATACATATATGTCTCTTGCCAAAAGGCCAAACTAACAATAAGTTAGGTAGCTTCCCCTGTAAGATCAAAAATGAGGAAAGCTACAGCAGATTGCTTGTAAAAGTTCTATAAATTACGAAAGAGTTTATTCTATATGAGAGGGAAGAAAGGTGAAAATCAAAAGCATAAAGTATATGTCCTTCTCTATTTTTTTACAAGTGATGACCTATAAAAAACCTTTTTACGACTTTCATTTTAATTTCTACTAATATGAATATTAATGCAAATCGAACTCAAATGGTTGTATTAAAAGGATGGACCCGATTTGCCATCAAACCCGGATGACTTTGACATACCAGGTGCTCCAACATCTGCTTCAAACGAATCCATACGTAAGAAATGTTGATGGTTTTCCTTTTCTTCTACCCTCGCATACAAATTTTGAATAATTTCAGCATGCGAAGACAAGGTGAACCCACGAACCGGCGTATCAGATTGCCCATCGCGTCAATATCTTTGTGACGATCCACTTTATTATTCCCTGATGACTGACCAGTGTCCAAAAACATGCAACAGATGTGATGAATATATTGCAAGTGTTCTTCAAACTCTTAAACAACCACAGCCAGAGGCACCACCTCCAAGTATGATTTTGAATTTTACCTTGCAAACAAATGTGATACTGTTTCTTTGTAGGTTCGGAACCAGAATGCAAGGATATGGTTCATCCTCGAACTGGAATATCGGATTGTCCGCAAAGAGCCTACCTCTGTAAAGACCCGAATTACGCAAGTTTTATGGCAGTGCAGTGCCCAAAAACCTGCGGCTACTGTTAATGTAATTTCACTGTCATATAAATTTATGTACCAATAAATCCTTCCATTACGTTAGATCAAATCTTCTCGTGATCCTAGTCGTAATTTGAACTGGCATGGTGTAATGTTAGCAACTTCAGCGCAAGTTTGTGTGCAATAAAAAGCAACATTTTCCTGCACTTCTGAAGCCACACATTTTTACCTTTTTTAGGAAAATCAAAACGAAAGTGATTGACAAATTTCAACCCTTCAAAAAAGAAACGTGCGCAATGAGGCCGTAATCGTCGAGAAATATATCGTAAAATTGGATTGAAGCTTTCATTTCTGCTCCTCTTGACCCCCGTACAAACTCTAACTTTTGCTAATAATTGCATCTTCAACGAGAAGACACGTGTTTCATGATCTCAAACACAAAAAAAGACACTGTTATAATCGTTCTCCCCCCACTAGACATCTAGTGGACGGATTCGATTTCAAATTAGAGCACGTCGTTGCTGCAGAGCGCGGCACCGCCAAATCCGTTTCAAGCTCAGGAGTTTCCTTTTGGGTTTTTTTTGTTGTTACGTGGTTATTTTTGTCTCAATTGTGTTTGTAGACAGAATTGACGAGTTTGTTGTTGTCTAGCGATAATTCATACTACTAGTCTCGTTTCTTTAGCCTTATCTTCAGGCAAGGCTAGAAAAACGATGAGGAAACGAGCTCAGCAGCAAGAAACATCGCTCAACACTTCAATCTCAATTGAGTAGGCTGTTAACATTCAAGAGATGGCATGAAATGTGGGAAAAATACAAAAAAAAATTCTCTTTGAGATCAAACAAGGGGTGGTTGTACCGCGCTTCCCCGCAACTGGCATGCTTTAGTTCGAATTCAAATTGGCCCACTAAGTGTCTAGTGGAGGGAGGATGACTCTAAGGGTGCGCCAAAATTACCGGCGCCAACTTTAGGAACACTGCCATGAAGGAACCACTGAGAAATACAAGCTCAAATTGGTGTCATAGAAGGCACTAATCAACCTTTACAAAATACATTTCACTGAATTCAAGACCTCTTTCTAAGAATTTGAGAATCCAAAGAATCAGACCAAAGCAAAAATGAAATTTTTATATCTTCATGATTTGAAAAACTCAAAGCCTTTCTAGACGCTTCCAAACTGAGGTTGTAGTGCACAATTTGCGTTATCACATAGGTCTAGTTGCTTTTGCAGAAATCGTTCCTTCACGAAATAAGAAAATGTACTCGCGGAAAATACCTGCGTACGAGTAATGCCATTATAGGCATTGTCCCGGCAGATTCGCGCTCTGGAGAATGTTGCTATGGTGGGATTCTTGGTCATCCCACTGGTTTAGAGGCGCAGTCCGACTGGTTGATCTCCCCCTGGGCCGAGAAAATAGCCCTTAAACCGGCGCGCGCAACGCGCTCAGACGACTTCGCTTACCGTTCGGCGCGGGACCCCACGGCCGCTCCCCTGCATTTTGCATGCTATCCGAAGCAAAAATTACAGGCCTTAGGGTCGTCGTGTGAGGGACTCCCACTTCCCATTGAAATTCTCGTCCGAGCTGCATTTTGGAAACTGGATAAACGCCCCGAAAGAGGCCTTTTCATCCGTTTCAAAGCTCAGATCCGCAGTCTAGGGGTCTAAAGGCCCAAACATGCAAAAAGATGGAAATGCAAAATCTGCCAGGACACTGCCTTCATGTTCAAAGTTAATTTTAGAACCCACACATGCAAAACCTTCCAGGTAAAAAACATCTCTATATTTTTGAGATATTTAGGAGAGCATAGTTAAAACCGATTAGCTGAGACAGTTTTGAATTTGACTTAGAAGACATTTTCTGATCCTAAGTCGCAATCAGGAAGGCTAAAATTACACCAACTTCTGGTATGCTGCCTCTCAACCATGTTTTTGAAAAATCAGAGATTCTCTTCGGATCGCTTTCGAATAACCATGTTCAGCTGCGTTAGAGGCGAGGGCTTGCTCTACTTTCATGTGCAATTATAAAGCAAGAGAAAATGTTATCAAAAAATGCTATTTAAATTCTCAAAGTCATGCTCCCGTACAGACTGCAGTTCGGTCGGCGAGAAGAAGTGGGATTTTTTCCAGGGATAAAGCAGCCAAATTCTGACTTGACTATTGTATCACGATAATGATGGTTGGTGGAAACAAAGGCATACCCGACGTGTTCTTAGAGACAGCGTCCGGGCAGATACGAAATTGTAGAGTACAGGGGCGCCCGTCCTGGTAAGGCTCTTGCCCATGGCAATGCACCAAATTGCTTCTGATGCGAGAAAACCGCTTCAGAAGTGGCGACCCTATGCCCCGGAGACCGGGGACGAGTTAGTCAAATAAGCCAGAGTCGCATACCTCACACAATCAAAACGTAGGGTCCCACAAAGACTCTGCGTCTTAACCTTGACGGCAGGCGACAAAATTCAAATAAGAGCTTCTGGAAAGCCCGTTCGACGTTTTTGTGCTCTCCAAGCTGCATTTTTGGAATCAGCAGGGAGGATAAGCCCAGGTAAGCGATGAAAATTCCATTCGAAATCCTGCCCGGACGCTGCCTTTAAGCCCGTCTAGTATCCTTCTGGCACCCAAGGAAACACGCGCCAGTAATTTTGGCTCACCCTGTACTTGCGCGAGAATCTACATTGGTTTGGGTTTTCAGTGGAGGAGTTTGTGTGATGCTGGATATGTGTAGACTTCCGCATTCATGGGCAGGTAAACTGACTCTGGAACTAATCAAAAAGTGCCATATCAAAAGCGATAGCTTTACGCATCTGAAGATATGATAGTTCCTGGTAAAAACCTAATCTCTTGAGTGGAATATAATGTGAAACGCTAGAAGTTGTCAGTGCGCAGCATCTTTTTGATTGAGTAGATCTTGACAAACTTTGCGCTTCTTCAACATTATGCCTCAGGTCATTTCCAGTTGTTGGGACTGGGACACAACATTGTCCTAGAAACGCCATTTTGCCATCGCACTGATAACTTTGAGTCGAAGCAATCCAAATGGACAAGCGTGGTAAAAGCCACTCTTAAAGGTACCGTCCACCCAAAGCGGGGGTCCACGAGATTCGATGGCATACCAATGTGGGTCCCGACACTAGGCCAACCCCCAAGTTTCCCCGCAAAAGGTTGCTTCCGGAGCTGGAAATCCGCTCCGGAAAGTACGTAATCCAGAGCTGGTCACTCCGCCAGCTGGTCACTTCGCCCAATTTGCAGGTTTGGCGGGCTGCGGCGGTGGTATACGCCGGGCGATAACAGCGCCGCGGCCCTGCAACCTGCATTTCCACCCGTCCCGCTTGCTCTCCAAAACAGGGGTTTTTGTAGTTTTCGGGGATCCTCGACTTCATATTCGAAATCAGGGCCTTCAGAAGGCCCGGAAGCAAAAAAACATGGAAGTCGAGAATCTGGGTGGATGGTGCCTTTAAGTACAATTTTTGAACACTGGGCCATTCAAATGATAGAAAATAGTAATGAAGAAAATAGTAATGACCTCTCGAATGGAGCACTTGAAGCCTACGATGGTGGCTAACATTTGGTCCCATCGTGGATTTTGGGTCCTAGCAAGAAGGAGGAAAAAAAAATTTGAAATTGAACGAAAAATGCGTGGACTGTAGATTTGAAATGTTACTGTGGCATTTTTTGGTGGCCATCCTACTTTAGAGAAACGTATGCATACTCTTTATCGACACAAATCTTCTATGTTTTCATTGCTCTTGTATACAACAAATGTGGAGCCATGTGGTTGCTATATGCAAGTTGCGAATGATCATTTTTCCACTTTTAGTTATTCAAAAAAATTTCCTAAAAAATGCTTGCCGACTCCTCAATTACATGATTTTCTCGCCTCAATTCGTTCCTTCTAGTCTTGCAGGTTTTACCAAATTTTATGTTTATTCGTTATCTGGGCATTGTAAGGGTTTTATCTTATTGCGATGAAACTACACTTTATCGCGAACAAGGGATGTTTGAAGGGTTCATAATGCATAAAAAAGCATATTTACTACTTTCTCTTATTTTCCGGAACGGTTCCAAGCTTGACATTGATAACTCACATGTTGGGCGCTGATCACGGTTCGTAAATTCACTGCATCTTCTAAGGGTAACCATTACAGAAAACTTAAAAAACAATATAGTTGCGCAGACGGCTGTAATTCTATTAGAAATTATACAAATCATACATAAACCTGCTGGGGAACCCCCCCCCCCTCTCCCTCCCTCCCTGTAATCTACTGCTCAATTTTTGGACAAGAGCTCTCGCATTTGGATGTACCGCTTCGTTTCAAGACAGTAGTACATAGTGTCCCTAAAATAAGTAAACATTTTTCAATCGTTAATAACCCTCCTCCCACCAAATCTTTTGTTTAGCTTTAAGTATTAAGGACAGGGTGATTAGAGCACATCATCCATCGCTTTTAATTACGATGGGATTATGGTAACAAATTCCAGCATACACCGCCATTGGACATATGCCGTTTTGAAAAGAAAGTTCCACGAAAATCTGGGAAGTTGTGTACAGTGTTTCCAAATATGCTGATTTCATTACAAAGCTTCTTACGAGTTTTTTTTTGAGCATTTGAAAGGATTTGATCACACTTTTAAAAATACTGAAAAACTTTTTGCAGTTTACCTGCCAACTTGTGACGAAAATCTTACAATAAGCTGCGAATTTCATATTGACGTTCAACGACTTAGTTTAGCTTACTGATGAACTTTACAGCATGCTGGATATCCAGTCTGCAACAAAATGCACATCATGCCTCAAAACTCTTTCCGATGTTTCTACCGTAATCGTACAGTAATGAAGATGAACGGGTGACTTGCTCCACACTATAAATCTAAATTGAAGACTGCTCTACTGAATGATGCTTGAAGCTAAGCAAAAGTCTTTGTGGAAAAAGAGTTATCAACGATTGAAAAGTCTTTTTTGACACCTTGTACAACGAATCGAAACTCCTAGGCATAAAAAAAAAGCAAGACACTGAAGTTTTTTCACTGATTTTCTGAACTTTTCTGTATC